TGGTCTACTCCGCCCGCCATGCCGCTCTCGGAGGATATGAGATCAGCGTTCAGGTTTAGCAACGCTTGTTCACTGGCGAAGAGATGCAGTTTGGTTTCATGTTGGCTTTTTATGTCACGATCATGTATGTATATACGAGTAGAGTGGGCCGAGCACCATATCATATCATATCATGCACCACAGGAGCAGACTGGGCCGAGCAACAAAACGTCGCACCCATCGGCCCATGCTTTAACTAGTATTTCATTCAGAAGAAGGATGGGAGGAAAAACAGGAGCAGGAGAATTTCGTCTCCGGCACTCTGCCAGTCATTTGATACTCATCACGACACGAAGCTTGTGCAAGGACGGACTATGCAGCAAACTAATAAACACACACTAGCAGCAGTCGGTCCAGTACAGAACAAACACCTATTAGCAGCGTACTAGCAAAACTAAAACACTTAGCTACGACCTACGAACGCTGTACAATGGCGTCAGATCAGCGGATCAGTCGTGGTCTAGTCCCAGCTTCACGTCGGCCACCTCGCTGAACATCTTCACCAGCTGGACGCGGCCTGCTGGTTCTCACCCTCGCCATCCTCCACCTCCACTTCCCCCTCCAGCTGGAGCCTGAGCTCGTCCTCCACGTCGTCCGACACCACGATCAGCAGCAGCTCGCAGCCCTCGTAGTTGACCAGGTCCGGCGGCGCGTACCGCCGGCTGCCGAACGCGCCCTACAGGTGCGCGGGGAACGCCGCCCAGCGCTTGCTCTCACTACGGGATACACGAGCTTTGCCGAGTGCCAAGGACACTCGGCAAAACCCCAAAAACACTCGGCATTTGTCGAGTGTTACACTCGGCAAACCATACTCGGCAAAGGTTTTATCGGCAAAGAGCTGTTTGCCAAGGGTCAAACCTCGGGCACTTGGCAAATACTATGCCGAGTCAAAAAAAAAAACACTCGGCAAACATTTTTCAGAAAAAAATAAAAAAAAACAAGTCCTGCCGCCGCCACCACCACTACGCCCCGCCACCGCCGCCACCACCACCACCACCACGCCCCGCAGCGTTGCCGGATCCACGCCGACCGCCGCAACCCCATCGTCGCCGGCCGGCCGACGTTGCGTCGAGCGGCTCCAAAGCACGCAACAGGGCAGGGTGGCCGGAGCTCGCTGCCACAGGGGAAGCGCCCGTGCCAGGGCAGGGCGCCGCTCGCCTCCGTGTGAAGGGGCCGCGTCGGGGACGCCACCAGATCCCACACCACACAGTTCTTCTTCTTCCTCTTGAATCGCCGGCTGTCGGGGATGGGGCAGAGGCTCTGCACGCCACCTAGGATGGCCTGCGCGCCCGCCGGGGAAGGAGCTCGCGCCGGCGACAGGCCATGGAGCAGGGGACGAAGCACCGCCGGAGGAAGCCACCGGAGAGGAACTCGCGCCGGCGACCGGCCATGGAGCCGGAGGAAGCCACTGGAGAGGAGCTCGCGCGGGATCCATGCCTTGGACCCACGCTCGACGCAAGGGCGGGGGTGCGCCGGAGAGGGAGGGGAGGGGCGCACCGGAGGAGGAGAGGGAGGAGAGCGGCGCGGGCAGACGGATCTGGGAGGAGGGAGGGGAGCTGAGGGGAAGGAGGGGGCGGATATGGGAGGAGGGAGGGGAGCGGCGCGGGCGGGCGGATCTGGGAGGAGGGAGGGGAGCTGAGGGGAGGGAGGGGAGGGGCGACGGCGGTTAATTAAAAGGTTTTTTTCCTTTGCCGAGTGTCCTAGATCTGGGCACTCGGCAAAGTTTTTTTTTCATTTTTTTCTTCTCTTTCTTTTCTAGAAAAAAGTTTTTTTTCTTTGCCGAGTGTCCTAGATCTGGGCACTCGGCAAAGTTTTTTTTTCTTCTCCTTCTTTCTGAGAAAAAAGATTTTATTTCTTTGCCGAGTGTAAAAAAACACTCGGCAAACAGGGAGTTTGCCGAGTGTTTTTTTTACACTCGGCAAACCTCCTCTTTACTGAGTGTTTTTAGCGCAGCACTCGGTAAAAAACTTGTTTGCCGAGTGCCCGAAAGAATACACTCGGCAAACATAAAAACACTCGGCAAATTTGACGTTTCCGGTAGTATCTGCAGCCCACGAAACCCGCCGTTGTCGTGGCCACCGGAGGGCGGGTCAGGGTTCTTGACGTGCATGAGGAACGACGCCTCCGGCTCCACGTTCATCGCCTCCTGCGGTTCCCTGGCACTGCGGGTGGGGACCTCCAGCTTGTACACGAGGTGGGTGAGCTACTGTACTGCAATTTGCCGCCCCGGCCGCCTGCAGAGCTGCCGTCATGCCACGCCCGCGCCGCCGGCCTTCCGCTGCATGGTGGTCGTTGACGTGGAGGAGACACAGGAGGAGAGGATCATCAGAGAGGAGACCGATGAGCTGATGAGCATCGGCATCGTGAAGCGCCGCTGGCGCGCTCCAAGTCAGACAGCACCGCGCCAAGACGCGTTCCAGCGCTTTCGCACTCCATAGGGCACTTTCGCTCGCGATCGCAGCTGTCGCCACGACCACGACCGGCACCGGCACCGGCGCCGGCACCGAGAGGTTCACACTGCGTCTGCCCGACCACGTGCTCCGAGACCTCGCCGCGGCGGGGAAGCTCCAGCGCACCACGAGCCTAGTCGCGTTCTGGTCCAGCCGCGGCAGCAGCACGCGCAGTGGCGTTAGCGTCAGGACTAGGGCCGGCGGCGGTGTAGAAGATAAAGAAAGCTAGGGGGTTTTCTGTAAATGTACTTTGGATTTAAGGTTAAATAAATGGATATGGCTCTGCAGTGAACCATTTTAAAAGTTTATGGACCCAAAAATACAGTTTTAAAGTTGATGGACCTAAATGACACCCCCACGAAAGTTAATGGACCTCTGGTGCATTTTACTCTTTTTTTTTTAGCAAAATGCCCATTCCCCACATGCAAGCCAATTCCCCTAATCACGGACTAATCACAGGCAGCGATTCTTTCCCTCTCACGTACAGGCTAGCTAGCCCCTTCCTTCCGTGGAGACGTGTTTTAAATTTGATGAACATGCACAATTATTTATTCTAATAAAATAATAAATAAAGTAAGTGGATATTTGTTGTCTTCAAAATCAAGTTGATATCCAAATATAAATTTAAATTTGAACTATTCAATTCATATACACATTTAAAGTAAGTTACAAACATATTTTTTTATCAAATTCTAAAGTTACAAATGAAATTAACGTTACATGCACTAATTAACACGTTACCCACTCACCTAACACGCATACACAGGCTAATAATATGCATGCATGTCACGTATCCACTCACCTAAACTGCACGCACATGCAAATCAAAATATATCAAGTCCAAAGTTATAAAATAAAAAAGATTTACAATATCTTAGAAAGAAAGATTTTCTATACCTAAAACTTTCCTTTTTTATCCTATTTTATAAAATAAAAAATTAATAAATATACATTCCATCTATTACCTCCTATGATGTAATAGTTCATCGTGACTGTCCGATCGAAATCAATGAATGGCTCATTCATTTGGGGTACCGCAGCAAAGCCCTACTTGTACATTTATAAAATACGATAGTGTCCGAGCGTCTACGTACACTGATTATGAAAATACATTATTATGAGCCTGTCAAATAAAATAATGATTACTTTGACATGTGAGTCCTCTACAGTCAATGAGGCAGTGCTTCGCAATTCCAGTCCCCACTATTAAATTAGGTATATTTTGTCTCCACGGTTGCTGCGACAATTTTCGCCGTATCACTTTCAACGGAGCAGTTGTTAGATACAGTTCGGAAGTTTGCAACGTGAAATCAAACTCAGGGATGTGGTAGAAGCATAGCTCATTTTTGCCCAAGCCGAACATTGCCATAATTGATTTTATATAGTAGCTTGAGTAAAGGACATTATGGGGAAATGTTGGAGTTCTTCTCATTGAAAATTATGCACACTAGGTCAGCTTTACATTTAGATATATGCCAAAATTTCGTTCTTCCCATTGAAAATTATGCACTCTAGATCAGCTTTACATTTAGATATATGCCAAAATTACAGTGTTCATTACATTTGCATCGTCGAGGAGGTGTCTTTATTTGTCTTCTCTGCTTTTCAATCTTGTTTCTCAGTAGGATGCGGCCACAGCCTGCTACAAATATGCGATACCTCAGCCCTGCTTCTGTCCTTCTGAGTCCGTGGTTCGAGGTTCAACTGCGAATCTGTGCTGCCGAGGTTCAACTGGCTGGTCACACAAGCTCATGTCCATTGCCGGCCACGGCCACCATGTCCACCCATGCGGACAACTTCAAAGATCTAGCAGCCCCATGGATGCCACCAAAATGCAGTTCTAGCCCGTGAGGCCCAAAGTCAAATAAATATGAGCACGCTAAGGATATCCCAATAGCAAACATGCTAGGAATACTGGATGTGGATGAGGATTGTATATCTAATAACAAGGAGATATATAGGGATCAGATGTGAAAGGGGAGTCCATATGAGAAACCATGAGGGGTCCACTGACCACATGCACACACTACTACATAAATTAACTATAGGGGCGGCTCTAGAGCCTTTGTAGGGACGGCTGCGCCAGCCGCCCTTCCCAAGGTGCCGCTGTAGGGGCGGTTTCCTGACCGCCCCTGCAGTGCCCTCTGTAGGGGCGGCTGGTGTTTTCAGCCGCCCCTACAGTGCCCACTGTAGGGGCGGCTGGTGTTTTCAGCCGCCCCTACAGTGCCCTCTGTAGGGGTGGCTGGTAATATCAGCCGCCCCTGTAGTGGACTTCTGTAAGGGTGGCTGTATCACCAGCCGCCCCGGCTGTGTGTATTTGTAAAGGCGGTTCAATCAAGAACCGCCCCTACAGTGGATTTTCCAGCAAAAAAAAATAAATAATTCAAATTCAAATCTGACCACACACATCTCTATATAGGAATCCGGCTTCCAAAAGATGGGCAGCCGATCGGGCCACGTCGCCCGACCACCCGTCAACCGTTCGATCGGGCGGGCTCGCCATGTGGACCGTCAGATTTTGGATCGGATCGGGTCTCCGCCTGTTCCATCGTGCTTCCGCATCGGGAATCTTCTCGGCGCGTCGGCCCGTAGGCTCCCGTGGCGTCGATGAGCAGAGCTGCAGCGCGGGCCAACGGCACGGGCATGGTCCACCGGCGAAGCGGCCGAGCTCACCGGCGAGACGGCGAAGAAGGCGAGCCGAATGCGACCTTGCCCGTCCGGCGCTCCCGTCCTCGCGCCGCCGCACTGGATGTAGGGCCACCACCCTCCTGCACGGCCTGCACCGCCGCCGGTACTTCCGTCCGCCTGCCTTACCCTCCTCTTCCCCTGCTGTCCCCGTGCGGCAGCTCTTCCCTGCCCGTATTGTGGCATCCTGCGCCCGCCGCTCGCAGCCATCGAGTGGAGGTGGATCGGAGCCCGCTGCTCCGCTTCCTCGCAGCCGTGACCACGGAGACAAAGGCGAGCTCAATGTTGGGCCCAAATGCCCAATAGCCATGGCGGAGTAGAGCAGGAGGCACGAGGCCAATAGCGCTCGCGCGTAGGTACACAATAGCCGTCTTCTTTCCGATGGCATCGGCGAATGCGTCCGCATGACCCCCACCGAGACCATAGGAAATTCGACCAGCGGCGCAGCAGGTGGCCGTGGCCTCGCAGGATTGGTGGCCGCCGAGCAATGCGACGTTCAGCAATGTTGCGCCGGTGCAAGGTGGAAGATGAGATGGAGCTGCTGGCGCTGACTACGGTTCTCTGTTCTCTCACCAGGCCCGCCTAGGTCCACCTTTGATTCTGCCGCCCGACCAGGCATATTGATGTCCCCTTTGCATCTAATTAATTGTTGGCCTCAATCAAATTTGTTTCTGAATTCCGAAGAGAGAATCAAGCAAACAAGGAAATATGTTTATTGCGCTTATACCAGTATGAATTTCTCAGATTTTTCCTTTACATATCTGCCCATCTCTGTTTTCTCAGCAACTTGTTTGGTTCATCTGCAAAATCCGTTGCTGAAGGAGCTCTGAAATCGATAGTGCCACTGCCCCATCCCTGCTCAAGCTACACTTACAATACAATGTTGTGTGCTATTGTTTATACTTAAAATAATATCAATTATTTGCTCAGTTTCAATGACTGCCCCTAACATTGTTCTTATTTCTAATCATCTTACTACATGTTATGTTTTGAAAGTAAATATTTCTCTCACACATAAACTGCTAAGTTAAACACACGGGCCTAGCAACTCTGACACAGTTATGGGTTGATGCATCATGCATGTACCTTCACTTCATAGCTCAAGAACTCGAGAAGAATCAGATGATATTTTTCATACTAATGACAGGCTCGCTATCTATACTAAAACCACCACCACAACTATACTCAAAATGTTTGTAGCCCTATTGCTAGCCATGTTCACAATGTTTCTAGCTCAAAAATCTATTCCCCTTCTGTTGCCTTGCCTGTATATACTGTAACCTACTACATTCACAATGTTCCAAGGCAAAATGCAAGGGAATGTATGAATTACATTGGCTTTGACTACTCCATGGATGTCTGTTGGCTGATTGGCCATAAAATGAATTACATGGATCTTTTTGTACAGTTAATTAACAAGTCATTAACATGGTTATTTTTCTTAAGAATGTTGCTAACATACAAAGGTAGCTATGCTGCAGTTGACCTCCAAGTTTCTCTTTTTATTATCTCTCGTTCTGTGATGATCTTCTATGTCAGATGTACTTCTGTAGTCTTACTTTAAATGCATTAGTCATTACAGAATATGTAAAACCCAGCCACTTTACAAATTTTCATGATACTGGTTTACAACATAGCACCCCGGCCCTCTTACAAAACAGTACTAATCTCTGTAAACTCAACCATCTAGCATATATATATGCAGTTGTTTACATGTGCACTAACTTACAAGCTGACATCAAAGTTGCTCTAGGACCTTTTACTACCAGGATGAAATAATTGGAGAAAGCAATCTAGGCAGCTAACCCTGTCCTCTATTCAAGCTTTAAGTACAATATAGTCTCACAATTGCGGAGCAAGAGATGAGAGTGCATATTTTGCTTCACAGTAAAAATTTCTTTCGGCCATTCTCGGTGATCCCTGCCTGGCCAGCGGAGCCGTGGACAGGCTGCGGCGGAGTCGTGCGCGCCCGTGGCCTTCCGCGCCAGCGCCCGCGGTCCCGGGGAGTTATGTCCATTAAAAACAAATCAAAACAGAGAAAAATGAGTCATATCATTGAAAAAAACGTGTTTTACTTGAGCAATTTAAATGCAGTCATGTTTGGCTCTGCTCAAAGCTTTGAATTTAAACTCAAACAGCATATAATATTTGCTTTATATACTATTTCAGACATTCTCTTCCATTGCAACATCTTTGACTTTGAACTATAAGGCAGGCAAAAAAAAAATGCAAGTCTACTATACCTCCATCTTTGTTCTGCTATATTTTGTGCTGATTGCTAAGCTCTCCACATAACTTTCTCAACGCATCGACTTCTCGTATTTTGGATTTTAGCTGTGCTACTATCTCTCTCCTTCTGTAAATGATTTGGCTAATCTGTGTAGTTAAATTTTTTACTTTGTTTTAAAAGCTTCAGATCTTAATACAGTGCTAGAGTGTGAATCTTAGACAACACTGCCACTGCTGTAGTTTTGCTTGTGGTGAATGTGTGGATTGTCATCTCGAAAACAATTTCTATCTTCCTTTGAAATTATGACTCAAAGGTAATACTTCTACGCCTTGTATTTTTATTTCAGATTTAAATAAATATCAACTTCAGACTTCAGAGAAAAAGGACTATGTGAAAGGTATGCACTAAAACATTTGCTCACGCTTATATGCTCTTTGATATATGTGACTGATTATACCTAATACTAATCAATTCTTAATTCACAATGATGGGTGTGTCGTGCATAGTTCTTAATTGAAAAAAAATAGACTCCAGCTATTATCCTCTGCAATGGCAACGATCAACATCAACTCCACTGATCTGTATAATTATATTGTACTACTGCTATTTATTCTCCACAGAAGCTAAGTAATACTAATTGCAATATAATTATTAGCTTCATGATGCAAGTGCCACACGGGACCGCGCGGCAAGGCCGCGCTGCTTTCTAGTATATATATATATATATATATATATATATATATATATATATATATATATATATATATATATATATATATATATATATATATATATATATATATATATATATATATATATATATATATATATTTTCTCAACTCTGACATATATTTAAGCATTTTCAGGAAGTACACCAATTCACACTAAACATTTTGACACTGGTTTCACAAAATCACAGCAAATAAATACAACTAGAATAATAAAGTTCAAACATTTGCTCTAGCCAATACTGAAAATTCAGTACATTTGATGCAGTCACAACTACACATGCAGATATTGCTACTGCTAAGAAATCTCCATGGAGACAAATAATTGTTAAGAACAATCATGCAAGGACAGCTACAGGGAAAACCAATTTCAACAGAGATAGATTCATTACATATGAAAGCCCTCACCTTGAGGATTTGTACTTAACATTGTCAAATACTTTGGATACAAACTTCCCTACAAATCAACATGTCTGATGTCTACTGTTGGGCCATGGAATAGTGAGACATGAGAATTACTTATAGTATTTAATTATTGGATAAAGAACAATAATTAGCAAACATAGAAGTTCCTAGTAGTGAAAACATATATACACCTGTAGCTATAAATTAAAATATCTTGACAAATGAAAGATATAGATTGTTTGTCACGCTGAAAATGATTCATGTTCAGAACAAATAATAAGAGTTTGAAATCTAAAGTTTTGTGGCATTCTGTAATAGAAGGAATCACTAGCAATCACTTTTGTTTACACTAGTGCATGTCTGGTCAAAATATCTATACTTGGGCTATTGAGATCCGAACCAAAGCATACAAAGTACTACTACACATGCTTTCGAGAAAAGTATACTACGCGGATTTCAGTTTTCATGATGGAATGTACTTCTTGTAATGACAGATAATAATCAGCACCCAAAGCAAATAGCTGCTAGTCCTTACCTTGCCATATGGCGAGACTAGCTACTAAAGTGTCGCGATCTTGTCCCCCAGCTTGTGGCTCCTCATACATGGTGCCTAACATAAAGTAAAACCAGAAAAAAATCAGAATCAGAAAAGGAAAACAAAAAGACAAGCCTCCTGAAATGTTTAGCAGTATTGACTAATAATTGTCTAGTATGATTAGATACATCTTCTGACATCAATATATAAAAGACTTGTTCAGGGAAAATGAGATAGCATCGCATAGTTGCTAATAGCTATTTACTTAGTAATTCTTAATATCACATACAAAAGCAATATTTCTTTTCCCCACTAAGAGATAGTTACAGAGTAGTACAAAAACAATTAACTTATGATGCTAGACTGGATAAAGAAAACTGGACTTAGTAAATCAGCAATGGAATGTGCACTGGTCAGCCATAAATTACTTTCAGAACTGAATTTTCATATCGGAAAATATTTTTAGAATCAACATATATACTCATGCTCAATAATTTAATTTAAGGATGACTAGTAGGTGCAACAACATGCATGCTTATGCAATGCACAGCTCATCTAGATGGCGCACTCTGATATGATATATATGTGCAATTGACACTGTGTTTCTAAACTTCATTGTTCCCCACTATACAGGCGTATCACATCACGTGGAATCCCACCATATAAATTATTTAACAGCTAGGCATATGAATTTTCAACCATAAATTATTTAGCAGCTAGGCATATGAATTTAGTAGCTATGCATATAACTTCATTGAGCTGCTACTGAACTAAATCAAGCCAACACCATGAAACCAAACACAACAAGATGATATGCTGCTACTTCCCAAGCCATGTGCAACAAAGAAAATAGAACAGAGCGAGATGAGCTGCTGCTAAACCTGAACTGAAGATAGATTCAGTTAACTAAACTCGAATCGAAAGTACATTGATTAATGGACACTCATACTTTCATCCTGCTGCTAGTTAGACATTTCATGTTGATACACTAGCACACATGTCGCTACTAATAAACAAGTGTTACTCTGCTAGTTAGACATTTCAACTCTGCGAGCATAAAAAGAGAGGACAAGAATGAAGACGACGCTGAAATGTTGTAAAAAAACAGTAGCTAATCATTCCTCAACACTATGATTTATACCCTATTGAATACTGGGTACAAATATGTTGCTGTTTCAGCCTTACTATATTTAATATCTATCGAGAGAGACATAAGCAAGACCTGTAGACGGTACATGCAAAACATGAACTGAAAACACCACTAGGAGAATGATTATTGATGAATGGGTACCTTGGTTATTGCTGTAGGTTG